AAAATTGATTCCAAAAAAAAAAAAAAAAAAAAAAAAAAAAACAACCCCAAAATGAAAGGGGGGTCCGGGGAAAATTTTGATTCTTAGATGGCCGAAAGTGAGCTATCCCGCCTTTTGAAAAAGTCTTTTAATGACCTTCAAGTTCTTCAAAGTTCAAGGTTTTCCCCCTTGAAAAATGTTAGGTAATTTTATCTCATTCTTTAGGCCTATAAATAGAAAAAAGAAAAACATAAAAGACATAGGCAATATATTATTATATTCCAACAATATTGAGCAGTTAGATATTTAGTTTTTCTTCCATGGATCGATGAACCGATAGAGCTGAAGAACAAACTTTCGTAGGCCTACATAAATTATTACGACGTCGAACAAAAACAGTGTGTATAATTTATTTATTGAAGACTAGTTGGGCTAAGCCTAGTTCTCCTGCCAACATAATTTTATGCCTAGGAGCTTAGCATACCTCTTGTAAGCCAGGGCCCAGTGTATTTTGATACGTTTCTTCACAGTAGGGGGTTCGTCCAGACTCCGAACCCCCTGAACCCCCTGGATCCGCCACTGGCAATAGTAGTAACAACAACAACAACAGCAACAACAACAACAACAATAATAATAATAATAATAATAATAATAATAATAATAATAATAATATATTAATAACCTATATTTACTGGTAATGTTATTAATAGTAAGGGTAGACCAAATAGTAAATGTATAGCAATATGTAATAGCAGACGTAAATAGCAATAGTAATAACGATAGAAATTGCAGTAGCAATATCATATAGTAATAGCAATAGCAGTAAAAGCATTAGTAACAACAACAACAACAACAAAAACAATAATAATAATAATAATAATAATAATAATAATAATAATAATAATAATAATAATAATAATAATAATAATAATAAGATACGGTAATGATGAATATGATGATGATGATGATAATAATAATAATAATAATAATAATAATAATAATAATAATAATAATAATAATAATAATAAAGACGATGATGATGAAAATAAATTAAACAAATCAACAAACAAAAATAATAATGATTATGATAATTTTAATGATAAATATGTTAAATATAATCATACTTATTAAGCATGAAATGAAGTTTTAAATAGACAGTGACTGTTGAAAAAGTAGTGAATATCTGGACTTCGTTTGGTACATTTAAGCGCTGTGGTAAAAATACTCCATCGCAGCACTTAACCAACTCGAGAATTATAACAGTAAACGTTTTATGACAACCTTTTTACTTCTAATAATAGGCTTAGGCCTATCATAAATGATATTATTAATAGGAGTAAACTGCATCTCAACGCTTCTTTGTTTTTATGAACTTTTCAAGTCATACATTTCCGGAGAGAACTATTTTTGGCTCTCGAATCAATGTTGTATACATTATTTATAATTATATATGATTATTTAATTACCACTACGTATATATTGTGTGTTCAGAACAATATCTAAGAAAGTCAACGATAACAACTATTATTTAGACAAGTATTCTGAATTTAAAACTCGAAACACCTGCTTAAATTATCATTTAATTTAATAGAATCAACTATTAGATAACATGATTAGATTGTAAAAATGAAATGTAATATATGCAAATTTACATCAGTATTTTTGTGTTTCTGCTGCGTAGGCGAAGGTAGAACTAACTCCAGGCACTTGTCTGATGTGCTGAGTATGATCTCTATTCTCATTAATTATTCATAAGTCCTTCCCACAATTCAATGCTTGTGTGTAGTATTTGTCGCACCCATATGCATTTGCTGCTATTTTGAGAGAACTGAGGTCTTCTGGTGAGCAAAGGAAAACAAGATAACTTTTCAAATAAAACTGGACCAGGGGAACCGAATTTTCAGTTACTGTTGTTCTTGGATCATTATTGGATCGTTACTTATCTATAATTCGTTGGCTTTGGATTTATTTACTTCCCGAATTAGTTGAAATAGGGTGAAGTTTCATGCATGGTTCGTGGCTCCATTTCTGAGCCCATCGAGAGCTCTTGTTCACATCAACACATCACCATCATGGGGTGTTTCGGGAATGGTATGCCGCGAGAAGAAAAAGAGGCAGAGAGGAGGAGAAAAGATGCCAACAAACGTATTGAAAAACAACTTCAAAAGGATAAACAAGTGTACAGGGCTACACATCGCCTATTATTACTTGGTTAGTGACGCAGCCGTGTTAGATTCTTTCGAGTGCACGCCCAAGTTATTGGTTTCTCAAAGCAAGCCTGTCATGTCCGACCTTCGTATGTCAATCGTCTTGGAGGAGGGCCTAGGCTAGGCTCAATCTGTTTATATTGGGTTGTACAAAAACCAACATGCTCAGTATTCAGGCCTAATTTGTCTAAGATAGGCCTAAGTATTGTACTTTGTTTGTTGCCTTAAATATTTAAAATATTGATTTTCAGTGTTAGCCTAAAAACACTTCCTAGTTGTTAAACCACATACTTTTACAAGTTAGGCCTAATTATTTTTGGTTGTATTATGTTGTAGGGCCTTGGCATGATATTGGGCCTACAGTAGGGAAAGCCTGCATATTCACTAGGGTTATTTGTAACAAGAGCTGGGGCATACTCCAATCTAGGTCTAGAGAGGGTTTAGGCCTACACTTAGTTTTACCTGGAATACATTAACTAATATGCTAGGCATATATAGCGTCAAAAATCACCACTAGGCCTACACCAGGTTAGACTTATTTTTTATGAGCCAGCAAATCTTCAAAAGACAGATTTTCATTCAGCTTCAAAACTAATGAAAGTGTACTGAAAATATTTGCATATTTCAGAATACTTTTAAATGCAAAACTATGTTTAAATGGTGCTTTTAACTAATGAAGTAGGTCTAGCATTTTACCCGCACTGTATACTATTACTTAAAGTATAAAAGCCAAAAGAGTATGAACAAAGATACTACCATGAGTACTTCAAAAAGTGCTGTGGCAAGTAACATTTTTGAACGCTTTAGTGCAGCACTTGCAGTACCTGTATTCAAGAGTACACAGACATACTCACTTATTGCAAATTAATGTCGGCAATTATGGTACCACTGTTGTATTGAACATAAGTTTATCTGACATACAGAAATGTTAGTATTATTTAAGAAATAGTCCATGTTGGTATAATTGCAACAATTACTAAAGATTTAATATTTGTAATATCAAAGAATCCAAAATTCTGCTGCTCGCATATGCACCCTCGCTCCCAGGCACCTCCACATCTCCCCCAGCCTGAAAAATCTGCACTGGCTTCCTATTCGGCAATGCATTATTTAAAAAATTCTTTATATTGTGTTTTAAGGCTTTTCGGCTCAAACAACCCTCTTATTTCTCTGAAATTCTAAATACTTATTTGCCCAACCGCCATCTCCGCTCAGAAAATAAGTCTTCTCTAACTGTCCATACCTTCTGATTGAAAACCTTGGGCAACAGACCATTGTTTTATCTGCCTCACTTCTGTGGAACAACTTACCATTGTCTGTCAAAAACTCGCCCTCCTTCGATTCATTTAATCTCAATTTAAAAACTCATCTATTTTAATCCATCTAGTTCACTCTGTTCCCATGTTCATATCTACAGTACATTGTCTTTTTACGTACCTATTTATTACTCCACAACTTTATTCAATTCATGTTCTGTGTATACTTTTCGCGCCTTTAATCATTTATTTTGAAATTGACGCATAATAAATGTTTGCTTATTAGCGTTGTTGTTGTTGTTATTATAAATGTCACAGGCCTTATTTGAGGGCCACGCTTAGGCAAACAAAAATTGTATTTTCAAGAGCAGGGTTTATTCCAGAGCGGCCTTAATGAAACATCAGTAAGGTGAATATTAATCCCCCTCTTGATAATCTCAGGCTTGTTAACATTGTAGCCCTCAGATTCAAGATCCTAAAGTGAAAACCTGCATTTTCAGTCTTCATCTATCAGTCGGGATATCAAATTGAGAAATTTTCCCTTCCCTTCAACAAGTAATAATTTGTAGGATATTCGTTCAGGTTGTTAACATCGTAAAACGTACCAAACATGGATGCATGGTATTATTTATTTGTGACCAAATCTAAAACCGTACATTTGTCGGTAAAGTTTAAAAAAAAAATGTTTTCTGTGATTTTTTATTTTACATGTATAGTAATCTTTTAAAAAAATGTTTGTGATCGTTATATTAGATATTCATGAATAGCTGAATATATAATCATTTGAATATTAACCTAGTAGTTATTTTATGCTTTTTAGTTTTAATGATTGATGTTTTGCAGTTATTGTAATTCGATCTCTACATTCATAATTAAAAGACCTGAAATTGCTGAAGATACTGTACTGATATTGCTGATATGTTTTGGCTTCTAGCGCAGAATTTGAAATGCGAAAAAATGTAGGGTTGCCAGAACCAATCACATTTAATAAAAAAATATTTCATTTCATTTTATTTATTTCGTCTCGTTAAAATACATAAAAAACAATCGGTCACAATGCAACATAGTAAAAGTATAAAATACTGAAACAGGCCGAGACAGGATTCCTAAAAGTGAACCATATCACTGTCATGTAGGTCTCCTAATGCACTATTCCGATTACACATAAATAATAAAATGAACAATTGAAATAATACTTAAAATCTATAAAATTTGCCATAACAAAAATATAAGATTCAAAACCAATAAATCCCTAGTTTCTATAGGTACTGTAGTTTCTACCAAGCGCGTGGAAACAAATGAAACACAGAAAGTTTCAAAGAATTTGTTCGAGCATATGGATGTGCAAATTTAAGATAATCACCGCATCTAGAGTTGATTGTTATGTAATTAAAAGTATCAAAATCATAAAAGCCTTGAAGACATTTCGCAATAAAAGAAATGGTAAGAAGCTTAAAACGTATTTCAACTAAAATTAAACCGATAATATCAAGACGTTGTGCATAGGTAAGTTTCCTCCCTTGAGGAAATCTTGCTCTAAACAGTTTAGATGCCCCTTCTGATGTGGCAGCCATGCGGGGATGGCATATTCTATGATTGGATGAACTATTACGCAAAATAATTTCGGAATTACAACTTGGTCTCTACAGCGCACAATTCGTTTAATATACCCCAGCAATTTTGAAGCATTTGATTATTTTGAATTACATAATGTTATTCATGTAATATCATGCCATTCTTTTGGTATTAGATATCCAATAGAAAATTTAAGATTTGTAATGAATTTGGTTAAATTATACAGTTTAAGCAAGATTGTAATTTTAATACAAGTATTGAATTTTCAATAGTAAAAGTACATGTATATGTCTACATTGCTGAATACAGTTAGATCATTCTACAGTAAAAAAAAAAAATTCTTTCAATTCAACTCCAATATAGCTTCATATCTTGGATTACATAATGTCATATAATAATTAATAATGGTTGAATTATACAGTATGAACAAGGTGGTACTTTTAATATTTCAACACAAATCTACATAAATCATTGTACACTTATTGATTTTAAGGCATTGTTATTTTTGTAAAATCTAAATTTCTGAATGAATAATATATCACCTCTAAAAAAAGATTATCTTTAAATCTGTCTTCAATATGGCTTTAGACACCTTATGTTGAATAACATAATGTTATTCATAGTATCATGCCATTCTTTGGTGTTTTTTTTCTATTCTGTAGTGACAGTTAAAGTAAATTTTTCAAATATTTTGATATGAATTGATAAAATTCTACCATTTAATCTACAGTAACCTTGATTGTCATTTATTTAATTACTGTACCATTATTGATGACTAAACCCAATTGAATCTATTTTTAGGCAAAGTTTATTCGCTTTAATCTGAAACCTTCTAATGAACAACCTTTCAAAAGCATTTTTTGAATATTTTTTTATATGAGCCTATGATATGCCAGTGTGACGTGCCACAACATCTCTCATAGTTTATCAGTAGATTTGGTTTCATATTCAAGGATAGTGCTATTGGGAGAGGGGGTGGGCCAATGCCCTTATCAGTGACAACTGCCAGATTTTGAGCAACGCCCAACCATGCCCACTTACGCTTCCGTCATGGACCCCACTCAGGCAGATCCTGGTGCCAATCCTGATTTTATTTATAATAAAATTGAGCATTAATAACCTTTTTTTTTAAGTTATGTTCTACTCATTCAAAGTATACAGTACCCTTGACTTTTGCCTGGGGAAATGCTGGTATGTGAAATTATGCATAAATAGAGTTAGACAACTTAAGGCTAGTAGTCAGTGTGGGGTTATACCCAAGGAACTGTGGTTGACTTATGTTCTGTTAACCAGTACTTGTAGATCCTATTTCTAGTTAAATTATTTTCAGTAAACATTAATGCAATTATAAATATTTACATTATAAATTATAAATCTGCACTCCTCTCAACTAAGTTCATATACTAACTTTTTTTAAAATTTTAATTGGTGAACATTACACATGGATTTTATATACCCATATTTTTAATCCACATTATTAGTTCTAGACATCCAACCCCTTTCCGCAGTAACTAACAGTTAAATTTTCCTAAGTCGACTTTGCCTAACTTGAATAATTTTTGAGTCAAACTTATTTTACATGCCAAGTTGTTGTGTTTTCCATTAATTAACAATCGGCAAGTCAAATTTTATCTTACAATTTGCAAGTCGAATTTTATCTAAGTCAAATAATTTTTCAATGGCATCTTGGATTCAACTTAGGCAAGTTCAACTATATCTAGGTTTTATTGTATAAAAATACAGTTTAATAACAAGTTCTTTATACAAATTACAATATGATGACCTTTGTCCCTCCCTTTCTGCTTTGTAGTGTAATGTAGGTTTCATGAATGAGGCCTCTTTACATAACTTTTTGTTCTAAATATTACATATTTTTTCTTGTTTTTTCAACCACGTAGGCGCTGGGGAATCGGGTAAAAGCACAATTGTGAAGCAAATGAGGATATTGCACGTCAACGGTTTTAGTACAGAGTAAGTAACCACTTCTTAACTACTTACTAACATATAATAATTTGACAGTATTTTAGACTAGTGTAGCGTTTCATGCCAGCAAGGACTTTAAGCGCTTACATTATTTCCTCCGGTCGTTGGATCAAGCACATATGGAACACTTGTCTCCCTGGGAAGGATTTCACAACGTTGCAACGCATTTTGTGTTTGAACCTACCAGGTACTCCTGGTTGGTGAGAGACAATTGTAGATAAAGTGCATTGCCCATGGTCACAAGCGAAATGTACAGTGAGGGTTCGAACCTCTTACCTCAAGGTTAAGAAGCAGAACCACAAGCTTTGCACCAAACCGCTCCTGCATATCTGCTTCCATTGGACCCTGATCCATTTTGGGACAGTTAGACCTCAGAGTTAGCTTCTTAAAGATATTAACTAAAGGTCACATCCAGAACACAGAATTCAGAAGAGGGTTTGCAAATATGTTCTTGGTCATGCATACTTCCTACTCTGAATCTCTTGACACGCTTGGTCTGGGAACACTTCAATGCCGTAGAGCACAGCTATGTAATGAATTCGCAAAAGAAATCTGCAAAATCTAACTATAAACATAAGTTCGCATGACTCTGTTAGGCACCAAAACAATTTTCACGAGTACAGTGCTAAAACCCAGCGTTACTATTGCAGCCCCTACCATATCTCAGCCGTCTATGGAACAACTTTTTTTTTTTTAATTTGAAATCTTTTTTCTTAACTTTCTTATGTTGATATATACTTTTTAATGTCGGTTTTTGTTTAAAAAAATACAATTCAGCTATTCAATGGCTGCAAATGTATAGTTTGTATGATTTTTCGAAATAAGGATAGTACCAAGATATACTGTCTATCATGAGCTAAAAAAATTCATATTCAGTTCTATATTTGAATGGCTTAATTTGCATATTTAATTAAGTTATTAACATACAATTAAAAATTTGCATGAGAAAAAAAAATTATCCTGGTCGCAGTTAATTTATGATAACTTTCTTATATTTATCTTTTGCAAAGGCCCTTAAATTGGCTGGTCACCAATTAAGGAATGTTATAAAATCTATTAAAAAAAAACTTAAAATTTTAAATAATCTATCTAAAATTTTGATTGGATTTTTTTGGGTTATTTCTCTAAATTTTATTTTTGTTTGGCAGATAGTACTGTACATCTTTAATTAAGTCACCGATATATCATCCATTTATAATTTTGGTATGTGATGATCAAATAATAATCCACCACAAATCACATGCGTATTCAATAAACAAACAAGGTAAAATAAAAATAACTTTGATCAGATTAACTGGTGGGAGTTTGGTTTCTAGGTAATAACTGTTGAAAACAAACTTTTTTGATCAACCATTTTTTTTTAAAGGAAACAACACAGTTGAAGAAATTTGGCTTTAATATTATTTTGCTTGTAATTCCGTGAAATGTTTCTGGGAATGGGGCTTTAATTAAATTAAGAATTCAGGGTCCCAAGTTGGAAGAATTCTGGGAGATCTGCAGTGGTAGATCCAAGAATTCAAAATTGAGGGGGTGGGGTAGGGAGGGGCTTTTGCAGATGTAGGGTCTATACCACCTTAGCCCCAACTATGGTAAGGATATTTATGGTTATGGCACATGTAGATGTGTGTGTGGGGGAGAAGAGGAACTTACCTCTTAAATCCACCACTGATCTGGTTAATAAGCTTTTGTAACATTTAATCTTACTTTGCTGCACTTAAGACAATTAGTAAAACTTTGAAAACATGCAGTTATTATGAATTTGTGGGATATGGGTTACGGTATTTCCGGGGAGATACTTGGCTTCCTTGCAGGGGATTGCGGGAGACCGCTCCAATTTCCGGGAGATTCCCGCGAGTTCCTAGAGACTTGGGAATTCTGAATATATTTTAACAAAAACTACTGTTTATACATTCAAAAGCCTAACCCATGTCTTTATGTTAATACGATACAGGTAATTGCTATTAGTTGAATTACAATTTGGTTTAAAATTCTATGAACAGTTTACGAAAAAGAATAGGTAGCGAATGGAAAAGCTCTGATTCTGCAAAGCTAAATAAAATGATTGGAAGGCCAGCAATTTAGCTCCATTATTATAAAAAAAATAGTATGGAACAATTTTTGCATTTTGAGGGGTGTGGTATAAATTTTTGAATATTAAAAACCCGGGAGAAAAGAGGAGGTACCGCATTAAATGCCCCTTTTTCTATAACCCCCAGTGTTTTTAAATTCTTAGAACAACCACAAATACATGTGGAAATGGGTATTTCCCAGTTTTTTATATTCATAATTCTTGATTTGTTGATTATTAACCTTTAACATATTTGGTAAAAATGTTTACAGTATTAGCCATTCTTGATTATTTCTTCAAACACCTCTTCAGTGTTTAGAATATTCGTTTGTACAACATAATTTGTGTTTTCCACGGGACCTGGCATTGCCTGTAATTCGTAAATAAAATGTATCAGTAGAAAGATATAACTATGTTTTAAGGAGAAAAGAGGTAACAGATGATGGAATTTGTATGACATTGAAATGACACAGTGTATTTTAGCTTGCATTCATTGTGATAGATACAGCTATTTTTGGTTTGCAGTGTTTAATAGAGGGATTAATGTTAAGAGCCTACTCTATGTGACAGGATAGAGCGCTTTTAGCTGTTGTCATACACCAAGAGTAGTGACATTGGAACACCTCCTATTTATATACACCTCTGGGGACCAGGTAGTTGTAGCGAATGGAAGTGGTCGGAATCAGAGATCAATCTAAGGTCAAATCCTAAAATCACTCCTACATTTCCAATGCATTTTTTTAAAACTGCTATGACCAATTTACATATTATAATTCCTACAGTAAATATTTACTGATACTGTTATTATATTTATTTAAAAGTAGGCCTATTTTTCAAGTACCATAGTGGACTTACTGATAACCTACAATCTTAGGTGTGGTATTTTAGAATTTTTAAGACAAATATTATCCGATTTTGGTCAGAAAAAAAATATTCAAGTTAGGATTTTTATGTTTTATGTTATATACATGGTTATATAACTTGTGAATTTGTAATCGGAGCAAGTAATTTGAGCTAAACTTTGCACATGGCTTGACGACATTTACCGGTTACGTCACTTGGAGTCGTAAAATAGTGTAGGTCGTAATTTTGGAACGTCGTAAAGGAGGTTTGGTTGTGCAAGGCTGTGCGATTACTTGCTATTTGCTGGCAGACACAAGATCATTGTTAAATATGTGGGGGTGAACGTAAGCGATGATCACAGGTTTGTTTCTTTCCAAGGCAGAACTTGTTACTCTGCTGTTCATCAATTTGGATTTAATTAAATTTGTCTGCAGAGAAAAGGAGAAAATTTCTTGGAATTGTTCTTATTGGTAATTTAGCGTAGAAGTATATAAGCACTGGATTATACTGTAACTCCAACTCTGATATTGGGACAAGTCATCTTAATAACCATACATTTTTCAGAATGTTTTATTTTACTATTAGTGGATGATGATAATGATAATAATAATAATTGATAATAATATTAATAATAATAATATTTCTGTATAGTATATTATGCAATGAATAATCTAGAGTACTTAATTTTCATAAAATGTAAACAAAAAGAACAAATAAAAATGCCAAATTTATAATGATGCATTGATGCTTTTTGTAGAGATTGACAAAAATGTGTTTCCCACATACAATGATATTTGGTCGGGATTGGGCAACACATACATTTTTTGGCCTAACTAAGCTTGCATATTATTGATGACTGGTAGTTATTCATTCTATTGTTGGGATGTCATCTGGAATACAAATATTTTGTGGATTATCAATCATCAGAATTGTGAACCTAATTTAACATATGAAGTCCAGTCAACACTATCAAATTTTGTTTACATGTAGACAAAAAAAAAGGTTGTATGTCCATATATAGTCATGATGTGCCTATATATGGTCATGATGTGATGTCATCATGACCATATTTTTCATATCACATGTTTTTTCAATTAAAATTTGATAGTCTACAGTAGACAGTAGGCTTTATACCGTGTAAATTTCATGATTACCACGCAGATCTAGTAAATGATCTCGTGTCATAAAACGGAGGTTTTTTTTAAATGCATTCACCAAAATACAACGGCTATTAACTGTTTGTGGTTTAGTAGAAAATACTGTAAATTGAAAACACAAGAGAATAAGGAAAATAATTAATAATGAGCTGGAGAAACAGATTTATTATTTCGGTCTTAATTCGGTGGAAAGCTCTCAACATGAGCTTTCCACCGAATTAAGAAATTTGTGATGAAAAATGTTACTGCTGATTACTGGGCTGCGTTGGAATTACAGAATTTGACATTGAAATAAATTTATTGGTGCCAGAAGTGTAAAACCTTTTGTTAAACATACTACACTATAAACTGAAAGTAATCACAATTTTCCCTTGAGGGGTGGGGGACCCCAAAAACCTAATGTTTTATTGTCTTGCATTATTGGGAGAATGTGCACATGCAATGTATCATAGACTATGATTTTTGTGCAATTTGAACATTTTTTTTTTTTTTACACGATGACATTTACCATGCTTGGCTTAGGGGAGAAAATGCCTTACTACTGTATGTTGTTGCTATGGTAGGCTTTTGGGGCATAAATAACTGGTTGTTTTGTTTCTATGGTGTTGCTATGGAAGGCTTTTAGATCCTCAAGCTGGTGTTTAAAATTTCAGTAGCTGAGAAGAATGTACTCTCAAAGTCTTTTTTTAGTAAAGAGGAAATTAACCAGGCGCACTATCAGGTTGTTGTTATCTGTCAGACAACAAATATTGTGTGATCAAACATAACCTACTCAATATTTTATCTGGCTTCTGATTATTTGTTATCCATGAGCCTCAAGTGTAAGCCTACCTCGGTTGTAACCTACTCTA